GACTCCCGGGCAGCTCGCAGGCGTTATCACACCGACAGGGCAGCAAGGCACTCACCAGCTGCACTTTCTCCATCTCCCAGTCTGCCCAGACTTCCTCCCTTTATTTCTCTCTCACAGGTATTAATTCCTTTTGTCAGGATAATTCTGTTCCGCGCTTCGGATCTTTTAAATCCGCAACTGCTGTTACTGACAGAAAGTATCCGAAATCCTCAAACATGGCAGCGCTGATCCCTGCCCCGCCTCGGGCACAGTTCAGCTCTGCCGGAGCTGTGTGCGGGTCTGTACTAACCCAAACACCGCCGTGACGGACAAAAGGAGCTGGACCGGCCCTGAGACACAGGGTGCCACGGGGGAGCGGGCGGGCACCACCGGCCCGGTTACACCTTACAGCCCGAACGCCAACTACAGCAGGCGTCAGGCCGTGCTCACGAGGCACCGTAGCTCCAAGTCGCCAGAGAAAAAGTGCCGCGTCCCCGCCGCCCCCAAGGGCCCCGGCCCGACCCGGCAGCGCCGCGCTCCGTCCCACCAGGCCGCGGGCTCCAGCGCCGGCCTGCGCACAGGCCGGGCAGACGGGCGAGCGCCGGGACTGCCCCGGGGACTGTCCCGAGCCCCGCGCTGCCCGCGGCGGACAGACTCTTTCCTTACCATAGCAGCGGCAGCGGCGGCGGGATCCACGCTCGGGCCCTCCGCTCACTCCGGTTCCCGGCCGGCCCCGCAAGATGGCGGCGCCGCGCCACGTCCGCACCCGGAAGTACCGTCACGGCGGGGCGGGGCGGGGCGAGGAGAGGCGGGGCGGGGCGAGGCGGGGCGAGGCGGGGCGCTGGCTCCTCCCGACCGCCAGGGGGCGCGCGCGGCCAGGCCGAGTGGGCGCTACGGGCGCGGCGGGCGGAGTCGCCATGGCGACGGCGGCGGCGGCGGCGGCGGCGCGGCGGGAAGCGAGGCGGGCGGAGGTGGGACACGGGGTACACGGCGGGACACAACGGGCTGAGATGGGACACGGGGGATACGGGGGCACACGGGGGACACGGGGCGCGGGCGGAGGTGGGGCACGGGACACGGCGTGGCAGCACACGGTGGTTGCGGGCGCCGGGCCGTCCCGGGCCTCGCCGCCGCTGAGTTCGGCTCTCGGCGCAGCCCCGCCCGGTGGAGAACCAGCCGTACGACGAGAGCCTGGAGCTGCCTGAGGCCGATGCCGGAGCCCGCTCGCCGCGGGCGGGGACCGCGGGCCGCCTGCGGGACTCCCGTCGGCCCGGGGTGCCGGTCGGAGCGGCCGGGAGCGGCGGCCGGGGCAGCGGAGGGAAGGTACGAGCGCAGCGGGCGGGGCACGGCCCCGGGGGCTCGGTGATATCCGGTGAGACCCGGCTCTCGTCCAGGAGGAGGCGGCCGCACACTTCGCCGGCCCAGCCACCTTCAGCGAGGATGACGACGAGGACGATGAGGACTCGGAGGAAGATTCCTCGGAGAGCGACTCGGAGGAGGACTCGGAGGAGCACGGGGCCACGCTGGAGGGGTGAGCGGCGTTCCTGGCCACGGGCTGAGGCTGGTGGGTGCCTTTCGGGCCCTGTCAGCTCCTCCGGTTTCCCCAGATCCCACGAGCGTGAGCAGAGTCGTGGCATCGGGACAGGCAGCTCCTGCCTCCTCCTCCCCGATGCTTGAGGATGGTGGTTCCTCCAGCTGGCGAACCTGTCCCCGGCTTGTTTGCTGTGCCCAGGAGATGCTAATCTTCTCCCTCTACTCTTCTTCCTTCTTTTAGTGACTTCAATCCAGCAGATTTTGACTACCTGCAGGTGTCCTCTGAAATCAAAGATCTCTTTGAATACATCAAGAGGTGAGTGGAAGGGTTTTAGCCTGCTCTTGGCTCTCCTTTGTGTCAATTATTGCAGTACGGTCTCCAGTCACCTATGCTGTGGTGGTGTTTTTTTCCAGGTACACTCCCAAAACAATAGAGATTGAGCACAAGCTGCAGCCTTTTATTCCAGACTTTATTCCTGCTGTTGGAGACATCGATGCATTCCTAAAGGTACAGTTTCTTCAGGTTCCCCTCTCTGTCCTGCTCCATGAACCGAAGCAGAACGCAGGCTCAGAGCAGGCAGGCAGCCAGGCCGTGCAGCCTGGGCTCTGGTCTGCCCCTGCTCTGTCAGATGTGATGAGCAGAGACCTGGAAAACTTCACTGGTGGTTTGGTCACCTCCCAAAGAGCACTTGGGTAACTTGGGGGAGAGCCTGGGCTTTCCTTCTCCAACACCGTGTGCTTTTCAGGCAGCACCCTACATAGAATGCACATCTGAGAGAGCCCGTAGGAAGGCACCTGCCCTGGATCCCCAGAGAACAGGGCTCTGTTTTCCTGCAGGTTCCTCGTCCTGATGGCAAGCCTGACAACCTTGGCCTGCTGGTCCTGGATGAGCCCTCAACCAAGCAGTCAGACCCCACCGTGCTCTCCCTTTGGCTGACAGAGAACTCCAAGCAGCACAACATCACGGTGAGTCAGGGAGAGGGAGGTCACACTTACTGCAGGTCACATTTCCTGCAGTAAAACCATGGCATTTTACTCTTACAGCTGAGAAGTTGACTATAAAAGCAGCAAAACCAGACCTTTTGCTTTAATCCATAGTTTTAAACTGCAGTGGATTTGAGCCTTGCTTCAGTCAAGTCTTGATATGAACTCTGGGTCTGTTCACTTCAGGTGATGCTTTATTTCCTTTTGCTTGTTCATACCCAGTTTTAGTTGGCATTTTGCCTGCAGAAATCCATTGGTAAAGTGCAGCTGGGAAAGAGAGAAGGCCTGGTTCACCAGAAGTGAATGCAGCTCTCCCAAAAAGCCCCAAAACACCATTAAACACTTCCAGGTTTATATTTGTGTTTTTAGCAGCAAATAAAAGTGAAGAGTTTGGAGAATGCAGAAAATAACCCTAAAGCCATTGAGAGCTGGATTGAAAGTATTAGTGAACTGCATCGCTGCAAGCCTCCTGCCACAGTCCATTACTCCAGGTGAGTTACTGGATTACTCCTGATGGAGTAGCTAGCAGTGGAAGGTTGTGTTTGATGCTAAGTCGATGTTCTAATCTTCCCTGGCAGGCCAATGCCTGACATCGAGACCCTGATGCAAGAATGGTCACCAGAATTCGAGGAGCTCCTGGGAAAGGTATATGGTCTGGGTGACCAGTGGTTAGCTCAGTGCTTGGTCTTGGAAACCATCTCCCATTGAAGCTGGGTGCCTGCTCCATCCCACAGCCCAGCCGCTCGGGCTTGTTCCTCCTCACGGCTCCGCCCTGGGCAGAAGCTGGGGAGCAGCCCAGCAGGGCAGTTCCCAGCTGCTGCCCCAGTGGCCTCTGTTTGCAGTCGGAGCAGATCTGACAGTCCTGTCTGTTGCAGGTGGGTCTTCCGAGCGCGGAGATGAGCTGTGACCTTGCCGAGTACATCGACATGATCTGCGGTGAGCTGGGGAGGCTGTGCTGCCGACACAATGTGGCGCTGGCCTGGCACTCTTACTGACAGCCAGGGAGCTTTAGCTGCAGGCTATTTCCCCTGCTTCGGTGGGAGGTGGGCTCTTGCACTGCAGGGGGCTGCAGTCTTTGGTGCGTGGAGCCCCAGTGGTGGGGGCAGTGGGAGTTCAGCCCCTCCTGACAATGCTCTGTGTGGGGCAGTGCAGATCAGGTGCCCTCACATGCTCTGATCTCGCCCACAGCCATTCTGGACATCCCCGTGTACAAGAGCCGGATCCACCCTCTGCACGTCCTCTTCTCCCTCTTCTTGGAGTTCAAGAACTCGCAGGTACGCAGCTCCACCCGGTGAGCAGCACTGCACAGCTGGGCCCTTCACATCTGGCTTTGTGATGGCAGTGGGGTGTGCAGAGGGCTGCTGGGCCCCAGAGAACGTGTTCCCAGCTGATGCCCTCTCTCCCTGGTGCCTCTGCCTGACGCAGGGAGCTGGGCTGTGCTCTGGGCTGAGGTGCCATGTTGTTCAACAGGCCGGCACAAGCCCGAGTGCATCTCCTGGGCTGGCGGCTGAGCACAGCTCAGGGTGTGGCCAGCGCATTCAGAGGCGTGTGTGCGCTCTGAGCAGCGGGAGTCAAATCTTTGCATGAGCACGTTCTTTTCCCTGCAGCACTTCAAGCCCCTGGCTGATGGGCAGAAGGGCAGGAGCCCACCATCCAACCCACCCTCACAAGCAGCGGAGGCAGAGGTGTTGAGCTTTAATTGATGCTGCACATTAAAGCCTCATCTCTTGGATCACTGTCTGCCACTGGACACTGAGGTGTACCCAGAGCAGGTTGGGAGATACCACACAGCAAATCAGAAGCCTCTCTGATTTCAGAGACCTTGCTGGGCTGCTCTGTGTTAGGGAGTAGGGCTTGACTCACCATATTTGTTGCAGAAGCTGCCTAATGGCTCCATTTTTGACTTGTTCCCAAGGAGTTCAGCATTAAACCAGCCTTTCCCAGTGGCAAGCTCTCTCTGCCACAGGTGCTGCAGAGCAGAGGCTCCTTCAGCACACACTATAAGGGCTGGAGCAAACAGGAATAAATTCCACATTCAAACACAACACTCAGATCTGCTCAGGGTGTTGCAAGCTCTGACCTGGAGACCTTGAGTCTCCTCTGCTCCTTATTATTGAACCCCCTTTCCTGTTGAGAAGCGTCCCTTAGCTCCTGTCAAGCAGAAATAACCTGTATGGCACCACAGAGATGCTTGAATTCAGTTTATTGCTGTTGGTCTCTCCTCAGCCCCTGCTCCACTGACCTCCCTCCTGTCTGCCACAGCAGCAGGGACAGGGGCAAAGAGGGTCATGCAGGGAGTCACAAACCTGCTAAAGCAAAGCTGGTGCTTGGCTTTACCCCGAGAGGAATCGCCGTGCTGGAGCCTGGCTATAAACGATTTTGATGCATTTTGATTATAACAGAATATCAGTAAAGTTCAGGGACTACATTTAACCATGCCTTGGCTGACGGCACAGCTCCCAAGCCTTGCACAGCACAGAGCTGGGGCTGGTCAGCTGCCACTTCCACCACGGCACTCTCAGCTGCTCGGCTCTGGCACAGCCCCGGCTCACGGGCACCACGCTGCAGCTCACAGCCAGATCTCATCACTGCTCATGCTGGGCACTTTGTAGATGCGCCCAGACGCCGGGAGCTGGATAAAACCTGCAGGACAAAGAACTCATTGCCTGTTGGGGCAGCCACGGAGCTCCATGTCTCACGACACATTTTTAGGGCTGCTTGCCCACCTGCTCCCTTACCAAGCTTGCTGCGGACCAGGGAGTTTTCCAGTCCCAGCAGGGCGCTTTCTTCTCCCCTAGCACTGGCTCCTGCATCCTTGGGGGAAGCTGCAGGGAAGCAAAGGAATAAGAGCCAGGACATCTATCCCTCACCCAGACAAGACCCGCAGCCCCACACGTGCTGCACTGGCACGTCAGGGTTTTACCTCCCTCTTCCTGTGCAAGGTCACCGAGGCGCAGGTTGGGTGGCAGGGACCGGGTCTGGCGGGGCAGACGTGTGCCCTGGGGCTGTGGGGGCCCAGAGCTGCTGCACTGGGAGCACTGGCTGCGCGGGCTGGCTCCTGCTTGCCCCGGACCTCGCATGAGCTCAGGCAAGCGACATGCCAGGCAGGCAGCGCAGGAGCCCAGGCTGAGCAGGGCAGATAGGGCCAGGGCTGCTCCGATGGCAACTCCCAGGACAGGCAGCTCCACACGGGCATCCAGCAGACCTGCACCGGCAGTGCAGAGCCATCAGCACCCTTCCACAGGGCCGTTGCACCATGCCCACCCCTCAACAGTTACCTGTGGGCAGGAGGGAGGCAGTGGTGATGCCCACACTGTTGGCTGCACTGATGGAGAGGTTTCCAGCTGTGCAGTTAAGATGGATGTGGAGTGAGTGGTTGGCCAGTCCTGGGTAGCTTGTGGCACCCAGAAGGAGAAACTTGGAGGTGTTAGCCATCACATGCCCATGCTTGTCCATCCAGGTGATGCTGGCAGGTGGGTTGGCTTGCACCAGCACAAAGAGCACCAGGAGAAGGCCAGTGCCCTCAACCTGCTGGTAGTGGGCACCTTCCTGGAGGATCTCTGGCTTATCTGGGTAAAAAACAGGCAGTGAGATGGGGAGGAGGGATGGGGAGAACACAGCTGGGACCAGGCTTTGTCTCACCTGGGTCCAGGAGCACTTGTCTACCTCGTTTGCACAGGACTGACAAGATGCTGCCCTGCTATGGCTGTGGTGGATGCAGGTTATGGTCCTGCCCAAGCTGGATGGGAGCCCCACACACCCTCCCCACATCCCAGTCTGGAGCAGGCCGGCACCGCGGACCTTACACTGCACATTGAGAAGGATGGAGGTGTTGTAGCTCTCACTGGAGGTCGGGATGGTCAGGGAGCAGTTGAGCTGGTGGTCGGAGCGCTGGCCAGTGAAGGTGAGGATGCTGGCAGTGTCTGCAGTCGAGAGGTTCACTTCCTGTTTCTGACCGTTGAGGTACCAGGCCAGCGTGGCACCGGGGGCTGGCCGGGGCACCCAGCAGGTGAAGATGCGACTCTCCCCCTCCTGCAGGGTGCACACCGTTCGCGGCTGCCTCTCAGTGGCGGGGTCCAGTTCCTCCAGTGCTGCCGGAGAGCCCCCCCACATCAGAGCTGTGGCAGGGGTCCTGCTCTGGGCGTCACGCACCGGACCCCAGCAGAGCCTCACCTGCCAAGCAGAGCGCCAGGAGGCTGAGCAGCGGTAGCAGCAGGAGGGCAAGGGCAGCCCCCGGCCAGCCGCTGGCACACCCCATGTTATATCAGCCGTGCTCAGCGCTAGGAGAGGCAGCTAGAGCTGGGACGTGGTGTTCCAGCGCACAGCAGGGTCGGAGGATGTGGCCCAGGCGCACCTTACCTGCAGCATTGCTGCTGCCGTGTGCAGCCCAGTCTGCAGTGCGGCTCCGCGCCCGGGCCCGGCGGGCAGGGCAGTGCATGCGGCGCAGGGGCGGGCCCGGCGCGGCTGCGAGCGCTCGTCCCTCTGGCCGGGCCCCGTCGCCGCCTCCCCGAGCGCGATCGCCGCGCGCAGCCGCGGGCTCGGTGCCGCCGCTTGCCGGGGCTGCCCGGCCGGGACGGGCTGTGCGCGTCCCCACGATTCCCATCTCCCCTCTGCAAGGAAGAGGGCCCAGACTTGCCCCCGCCGCGGCACCTATCTCAGCGGGGCTGTGCACGCTTGGGAATCGCACCACAATGCCTCCTGCAATGCCATGAGCAGAGCCCAGGTGCTGGGAACAGAGGGAGCTTTATTCGGGGTGGAACACAGCGAGACAAACACAGCAAGGTGCTTTGGTGCTTTCCCGTCCCTGGCTGTTAGCCAGAGGGAGGAACAGGAGCTCTGGCACCTGAGGTGGACCTTTTCTGGACGCGTCTGCCTGGGCCAGCTCGGGAGCACGGCTCTACCCAGCCCATCTCCTGCCCGTCTCAGTCGCTCCCGGCCCCATCGGGGTTGCGCAGCCGACCGAGCATCTCGCAGAGCATTTGGTTGCAGAGCGCAGAGTAGGGGTTGAGGAGCACGAGCTGCTGTCGGGCGAAGGCGCTGCCCAGGCGCGCTGCGCGCTCCAAGTCCCGCCGGGCGTCCTCGTCCCGCGCCTGCAGCCGGTGGATGAGGCCGCGCTGCACGAAGCTCTGGCAGGCGGCACGGCCGCGGCCGCGGCTCAGCCGTATGGCAGCGTCCAGGTCCTGCAGGGCACCTGGCAACGAGGGCAGGCGTTGGTAGGGGCTGGGGCTTCCAGGAGACCGCCCGCACCTGCGCTGCTCACCTGCCACGTCCCCGCGCAAACGCAGCGCCTGGGCCCGGTTGTTGTAGCCCGAGGCGCGCTCGGGCAGCAGGCGAATGGCCTCGCTGAACCGCTCCAGGGCCGTGCTGATGTCTCCTGACTCAGCCGCAGAAACGCCCTGCAGCTCCAGCTCCCGCACTTGATCCAGCAGCTCCAACGGAAAAGCTTCCACTGTTGCAGCGCAAACGGGAGACCGTAACTGGGAAGTGGAGGCACCAGGACGACCCACGGGGCCCCGTCCCACTGCCACCCTGCACTCCCTGTCCAGAAGGGAACAGACACAGGACAGGGTGCCGGAGTCCATCCTCAAGCAGGCTCTGCTCCCAGCCTGCAGAGCGTCCTTCCCTGCCCACCTGCTTGCCCTGCGGGGACCCTGCTGGCAATTCCAGGGCGAACCTGATGCAGCATCACTCACCCTCGTCCTGGACATCCTCCTCCTCCTCATCCAACCCTGGGATATCCCCAAAAGGGGTGCTGGGGTTGAAGATGGTCTGCAGGACGGCCCTGTCGTTGGCTGTGGCCATGCTGCCGTGTCACTGCGGCTGCCGCAGCCCAGTTAATGTTCACCCTGCCTTGTCCCGTGGCAGCCTGGGCTGAGGCCCCACCGCCCAGCCGGTGCCCCCGGCAGCGACCCAAGGTCAGGGGCACAGCCGGGGCCGAGGGCTCCGCACTGAACACCCTGTGCAGCCCTGGCGCTGGCCAGGGGCTCCCGGCCCTTGTGAGCGTCCTGGAGAAGCAGCAGCTTCTCAGTTCTCAAGAAGAAATGGAGAGAGCCCTCTGCAGCAATAAACTTGACATGTTTATTAATTAAACTATCACTTAAATAAAAAAAAGTGCATAGAAAATAAACATGTTTAAAAACTCCTTTTTTTTTTACAACTATGTACACTTTTTATTTTTACATTCAGTCTTTTGCAGAGCTTTCAGCATTTTTTTAAACTATTAAAGTATTTCCTTCTTCCCTGTGGCAGGGAGTTAACACTGATGTACTTTAGACACGTTTCCTCTTTTTTTAAAAAAACCCAAAAACCAAAGCCAAAAAAACAAAAAAAAACAAACAACCAGTAGATTGGAAGAACACAAGAAAAAAAACTTTTGTTATACATGATAAGTTGTCAAGAAATGTATTTCTAGAACATAACCTTGCCTTTGCAGAGCTTTTTTTTTTTTTTCCTTTTTTTTTTTTGTTTTTTGAAACAATTATTCACCTATCTGTAGTTACTAAAGAGACTGTAAGTTCAATAAAAGAAACACCACAAGTATAGTTCTCGGCCGATAGACGAAGCTACTGTACCTTGTTAAAAAGATACCAGGAAAGCACAGAGCACATTTTTCCCTATATGTAGGTGGTACCCCAACATTCATAACCAAAACGAGAGGAAGGAAAGGAAGAAACCAAGTTGTACAAGTACTGACTGTAACAAGAAGGGCCAGGAAAAGCCAAACCGCCTGCTCCCAGCTTCTGGCCCTGGCTGCCAGCGGGGAGTGAGCAGCAAGGCTTTCCTGGAGCTGTGAGCAACTGTAACACAATCCTTATCTATAGTGTTAAAGAGAATTAAAAGCCATGAACCGATACTGAACTAGGCTTCATTACACGGTGCATTACTATATTAGTTCCTATATATATTGTATTTATAGTTATAAAAAAATTTGCAAGTGTTGAGAGTGGACCAGTGTATGGGTGAATGGCATGATTCTGCACAGACCGTCCTGCTGAAGAACTTGGTATTGCTTTGAAATGAAAGAAAACCAGAAAAAAAAAGATACCCAGCCCTTTGCAATGACCCGCTTCTCCTTAAAAAAAAACCATGTCGGTTTGTACAAAAAAACCCCAAAAACGCCCTAAGGTTCCTTTTTTAGTATTTTCAGATACCATGATCTGCGTCAGTCCTTATAAAATATACATTCATACACGGGGAGCGGGGCGCTCCTGGGCAGCCCGGGCGAGGCAGGCAGGCTCAGCCGCCCGGTGCCCCCCGAGCCCCGGGGACAGACGGTTCCACTGGCCACAAGGGAATAGCAGCAACGCGGGCACCGCTGCCCGGCCGGGCCCGGGCAGGAGGGGGCTGGCACTCGGCTCTGCGGCCCCGAGGCACAGCGCTCCCTCCGCCTCCTTCCCCCGCTCCCCACGCGGGGCGGCTCCGGGCAGCGCTCCCCCGGGGAGCCTCCTCCTGCAGCCAGGACATCGGGGAGCGAGGGGCGAGAAAGCGCAGCTGAGCTCTGGGATAAACCAGGGGCTTTGCCACGGCGAGGGCTATGCCCCCGCCCCGCGTCAGAAACGGAAGGAAAAGGGCCAAGAGCGGCTGTGCTCCGGGCCACGGGGCCCAGATCCCCCGGGTGGGCGCTCTCTGGGCTCCTCAAAGTATGTGCGTTCCCAAACTGTCAGTGCATCAAATCATCTCAGTAACAAATGCAGCCTCAACGTGACTTTGCTTTCAACAGTTACCAACAAATTATCCTCACACAGTGCAATAACAAAAGGAAATCGGCAGGTTCTGAACCTCCGAGCGCTGCTGTTCCTTCTCAGGGCAGAGGAAGAAGTCTCAAGACCAGAGAGGAGTGGATGGGGATGCCCCTCTGAGAGACCCGGGGAGTCAGCAGGCACTCCCCGTCCATTCCCCACCGACTGCCAGTGCCGGCTCAGAGCAGCCCTCGGATACATCAGCTCCAGGAAGAGTGGCTCCTGTAACAACTGCAATCTAACCACCAGGAAAGCTCGGAAAAGCATTCTGCTTTCCCTTCTGCACAGAAAAACCCATCTGCCTTTGAAGGACAGACTGTGGCAGGAGGTGTGTGTCTCAGACTGGCCCCCCAGCAAAGAGGTATTGAGTGTCACGTCTCATCCTGTCTTGCTTTTCTTTTTTAAACCCTTGCAGGATACCAGCACGGGCAAGGCAGAATCAAACTATCTGCCCGAGTCACACACTGTCCTCCCACAGAGCGAAACTCATACCATGCTGGGCAGCTCTCCCTCCTGCCCCGTCCTTATGGGCAAATACAGTTTAAGGTCCAGTCAACCCTCCCGGAGACAGTTACTAAAGTCAAAAAGGCAGAACAAGAGTAGAAAACAAAACTAAAGCAACCCCCCCACTGGAGAAAGGCTCAGACTGTGTCCAGCCAGGTATTTCCTAGAACCATCCTATGAAAATAAAAAAATCATTAAAAAGAGATTCTCTTAAATTAGGATAATACCACTGTAAAAAGCCTCGTCATAAGTGCTTTCCCCTATGAAGTGCTTCTCATAGAAAAATATACAAAATATATTTACATTTATAAAACCTTAAATACTAAACTGTAAACAGAACAGAGCAGAATCCAATGTTGTCACTGTCAGGCTTGGGTCTCTCATTTGTCTCTCTCTGGTTTTGCTCTGAGGCACAGGGCAGATCCCACAGGGAGGAGGACTCACACTGCTCCAACCAGGACAGCGGTGTCCCTCAACCTGCTCAGAGCTGGCCTGGTTCCTCACCCACTGTGCCAACGCCTCCTGCGTTTCCTATGCGTTTCAGGATGCTGCGGGCGAGGCCAGCTGGCACTTGGCCTTGCCTTTGCAGAGAACTTTGGCTCCGTTTTGGTGTCCTTCTGTGTTTTCTGGGGAACACAACGTGACTACACCCAGACGACTGACCATGACAGGCTGCAGGGCCACTCTCCTGCCTGCCCCCAAAGGCCTGGGACACCGTGGCAGGGCAGAGCAGAGCGGGTGCCTTCACACCAGTCCTTCCCAGCTCCTGCTCCACAGCGGTGAGCGCCCAAGGCCGGGCTGGCTCGCGCTCCCTCCGCTCTCTAGAGACCTCAGTTCCTCGAGACACTGCTGGCTGGCTGTGCCAGGAGCTCGCTGGACAGAGGAGGAACCCAGCCGCTGGAGACAGGACCCAGAGGACTACCTCCCTCCCACGTGGCCCAGAGGGAGCGCTGGTGAACGGGAGCCTTTGCTAGCAAAGATTTACAGCGCTCCAACTGTTGGCACAAGCCCTCCTTGCCAAAGAACACCAGGAGTTCCCCTGCTCTCAGGCAGGGATTTCAGAGCAATATGTCAGCCAAACTCTTCTTGTGTCTAGTTGTGGGCTGCTCTTTCCTGCTCTCCTCAGGAGCAGCCAAGCCAGCCCCCCGCACACCTGCTCCCACTCACACATAGTGTTTTGCAGACATGCAGTCCCTGGGGGCTGCTGGCAAGGCACAGGCCTTCTCCCCAGGAGGCAAGCTCAAATACTGCACTACCCAACCACTGACTCAGCCCTAGGAAGGAGAGTTCTGGCCAGGAGACGGAGAGGGACACGACCCACGACTGCTGCCCTGTGCCTGGGCCTGGGGTGACCTCCCCTCTCCTCTCCCACTCATTAGCCCCATGCTGAGAAACAAATATGGGGGCGGGGGGAAATGAGAATAGCAAAAACATAACCATGCTGATCTTCTCCAGCCGCCCATGTCTCTCACAAGGGTGAGTGTGCACATGCGAGACATGAAGATGTGGACTCGGACAAACACAGCCGCCAGTCTCAGGTCCCTGAGCCCAGTCCATCTTCACTCCTGCTTCTGGCCTCTCTGTCCCATCCCAGTGGCCGGGAAGGGGCTCACTCCAAGCTTTGGTTCACCCCAGGCCCTGCAGGGCTCACTTGCAGCTGATGGAAGTTCTAGTTTAAAAACTTCCTGCACTTCTTGGCACCGCAGTTACAGGGCAGTTTGTTGCTGGCGTCTTCAATGGGGAACTTATAGTCATAAGTGAGCTCTTCCCCTCGGTAGATTTTGCGCATGGCGAAGATGACAATGTGTTTCTGGCCATCGATGTTGATGACCCGGGAGTAGCAGTTGGGCTCGCAGGAGTGGTTGATGAAGCGGGCTGCGTTCCCATGCATGGTGGCATCCACCACCTCGGAGTCATCAATGCGGAACATGTAGCACCCGATGCCCTGCGCGGGGAGGACAGGGGAGGATTAGTGCGGGCAGGGCAGCCCAGCACAGCCGCCCCAGCAGACAGCCCAGCTCTGAGGGAGCGTCTGCAGCCACCATCCACTGGGCCTGACACACTCCTGCCTGAATCATTCCATCCCCACATTCACTGCGACTAATCCCAGACCACAGAAGGGAAAGAGAAGTGCCTCTAAAGCTCCAGCCTCTTAAGCTCCAGCTAGAATGAAAATAGCCCAAGAAATCGGTAAACACAATTTGGGATGTCCCCAACAGAATTTTTATATAGGCCTGTCCTACCTTCACAGCCACTTTTTAGCTCTCCCAAACTCTTTAAGAACATCTACAAAAGCCCAAAACTCACCTTACTGTCGTAGTATTTCTCTCGTTTGTCAGTGAGGATGGAGCGAATGACATTGCCTGAATATTCGATCACCATCTCACCTGCATCGATGTTCCTTTTGCAGAACAGACCCCGGCCGTGGATAGGAGACCTATGCAGTAAGAAAAGCAAATTATTTCAAATGAGACAAGCAAAGCTCAAGAACATCAGATTGCAAAGGCTGCCAAAAACAGGCTGTGGCAAGGACCAC